AAAATCTGCTCGGCAGATTTATGATCTGAAAGAAAGCTGATTATCCTAATAAGAATAATCGGTGGTTTTCAGTCTGCCTGAAATGGTTACTGAAAGTCCTGTGATAAACTATAAAGGGAATATCTTATCTTATCGGAAAATTTCAGTACACCTTTCTGCCGAGCAGATTTTTGTATCATTACGGTGTGTAAGCTCTAGAGCTCACGCGATCACCGCTCATTAGAAACTCCCAGCCTAAACCAAGGGTATCAAGCCATACAATGTGGTATTTTCAACCGTGGATACCATGAGGAGATCAAGAGAGTTGAAACGTTGAAAGCTGAAATCGACGCTGCAGAGTGGCGGACCGACCGGATCGAATCGGTCTCATGGGCGCTTACTCGGAATTCGAGCTTCAAGGAGTGATGAAATGGACAGGTTGTCTCAATGGTTAAATTTAGTGATGGGCCTTGCAAGTGCTATTATGCGAACCAGAGGATTTTACAATACCGCCACTCTAGGTGGTTATAACCTTGAACTAAAAGGGATCAGCTATGGAATTGGATTTTTCTATGCCAATGCAGTCCTCAATGTGGTGTCCACCACGTCGCAGCGACTTACGATAGGCATCTTCACAAACTTTCACTCAACTAGTATACTGGCAAGTCCTTAGGCATTAGATCTTAGATTTGGTCTCCCTCCCGTAGCAAAATGGTCCAAGATATTCGGTTTTCCTCCTTCGATGAATATGGCAGTGTTCTCAGTTGCGTGTCTCTTCTCACTACTCCTTGACAAATTACCGCTTGCCTTGATTCATGCTTGGAATCTGGGCCGGAAAATGCAGTCGTTGGCCGATAGATCAATAAACACGGGAACGTCGAGGCCTGAAGGAACGATCGGGTGGTGGAAGGAAGGCCGGCTAGATTATAAGCTTAATGCGCGTCCACCCTTGAAGCTCGAAGCCTCTGCTCTGCCAGTACGGCCCCAACTCATCTTCCGTATACCAGCTATGGCTCCACATGAGAATTCCTCATCCGATGATTAGTATACCCTTGTACTTCACAACCTTTGTACGATCCTTCACCGCCACAATCTCGCGTCATTCAGGCTAGTCTTTACCGCTATTTCGAGTCTGCCTTTATGTTTAATATCAAATATTGAAGTACAAGGTTCATTATCGTGCTTCTTTTAAACACGAAGGTCTGCTGGAATGCCCAGTACGGCTTGGATATTCGGTAACTCGAGGGAATCCCAATGTTATTCATATTGGCCCAGTGCTTTCTTCGCTTTCTTCTACCGTTCTACTCCCTCTCTCGTTGATCGCTCACAGCTAAGCTCATTCTAATCTGTCGGATATCAGAGCTTAAAAAACTCGTCTCTTGTGTTGCGTGGGTGGGGGTTAAGAGTGTCTTGTACTTGTCGCGTTGATTCCAAATGTCCTCAGACAACTGCACAGCTAGTCTGTCATGATAGCTGACTCCCGAGTCCGACTCAATCTGACTGAGGGCGATGAGATCTCTAATTCTCTGGCCTTAGTATGCCGAAAGGCAGATCCCGAAGCTTTCCATTGGCTTGTGCACCAACGATCGCGACTAGACATTATATTACCATTTCTGCACTACCGTAAGTAAATTAATCAAAGATTCATGGGCTACCAAAAGAAAACAACGGTTCCACTATCTGTCAAATTTTTAAGTAAAGGCAGCTTTGACAGAGCAGTTCGAGCTCAGCACGTACTACAGTTTATCGATCTAACCCTAATATCTTGCCTAATATGCCAACAATCCGCCGATTGATATGACAACAAGAGAAATCATGTACGCAGCCTTTTGTCTATCGAAGAAGGGAGATTTTGCTGCTGATGTCGATGCCGATGCCGACGATCCGCTTGATGAGGCTGCATCAACCGTGCCACATCCAGCTAAGGTGAAAAAAAATATAAGATATCCATTGACGATATACATGGCATGTTCGACCCACCAGTTGGCCACACATTACAGACCTGACTAACATCAGATGAAATTGTTTGCGCGCCTTTGATCTCTCCACAACCCTCAGTGACCAGGGAGAGTGCTCCTTCAGCAAGCTCGGGCATAAAAAAAATCAACAACCACTGAAATCCCAGTGACGATCGCGCTGGGTTTTCCGTCGTCACAGAGCGCCCCAAGGACGTTATTGACATCGCCATCCCCCTTGCACGCTTGGGAGATGGCGTCGTCCTGGTTGGGACAAGATTGTGTGACTTGGGTTGTACCGCCGCAAACGTCGGCAAAGTTACCGCTGAGTGTTGAGCCGCACGTGTAGCAGAACAACCATCTGTACAAAACCGAAAAGAGTGCTTATCAGGGGTTAATCAGAATTTGCGTGGACTGCGTGCTTACGGAGTACCGTCGAAGGTTTCGGGGGTATAGCACAAGCAATTCGGGAGGTAAAACAGGGTTGATGATGCCTGCAGCGACAGGACAGAATGAGTCCGACACCGCTGGTCCTGCGTCTTCAATAGTTCCCTGGAAGCAAGCCGAAGGGCAATTCGCCTGGCCTGAAGTAAATCGAAAAACAACAAAGAGCAGAGCAAAAAGGATGGGTTGCTGCATTATCGTGTCGACAAATATAAGAGGACCAAAGGAGGTGAAGGTTGAGCATTCGTTGCTGTCTCTTTAAGATGTATCGGACAAGCGCTCAGCTAGCCCGACATACTGGAACTATTTTGACTGTGGCCGACCATATCGATGGATTGATCATACTGAATTGTCCCTGTGATAAAAAACATCGCTCTAAGAAATTGGCCATGTCACATCGTAGCGCTCAAACACTGCAGCACCGTTGCACATGAGGCCTCCTCATGTTTGAATTAAATGCAAAGACACGCAATTTACTCTCAAAGAGGAAAAAAATGCCCTCGGTGAAGTTCAGAGCCGACTGCTGGGTTAGTAGGAACAAACGATGGCAGTTGGATGGAATCTTAAAATGAGACTAGCAGCCAATCACCTTGTAGAGACCCGTAGCCGTTCCCACCCAGCGCAAGCAGTATTTATTTACTAGCTCTCTATATTTTTTCCATATTTAGTCAAGTATTTAGCGCGAGCCAACGAGAATAAGTCGGGGAATGAAAACAGAAGAATACAGGAGGAATGGAAGACAAAATATTGACAGTTGAATAGAATTCTGAATGATGAAAATTTTGGAATAGAAAGAAGGCGCGCATCAAGCTTCTAAGTATGATCGTGAGCGATCTGTACAGCTTCAACTTGAACACCTTCAGGAGCCTTCAGGCTTCCGTGCTTTTTTCTGAACTTCCGAATCATCTTTCCGGTCTCGTCGCACAGCACGCATAACCTGTCTTGGGTTTGGAAGGGATTAAGAGGGCTACAGTGATCTTTGGAAAATGAACGACTGGGTGGCACATGACCAGAGCAACATATAATGTAAGCAGTACCTTTTGAACTGTAAATCTATTTTTTTTTTTTTTGCAATACTTGCTAGAAAAGAGCTTCGCAGTTTTGCTATGATTGGGCTGCAAATAAGAGGAGTGATTATTGATAACCCAAACAAAAGCCTTGAATTCCGCCTTGAATTCCGCAAGCCACCGTATGCGATGAATGTAAGCATACCAAATCAAAATGATCGCCCGCCTCAGCCTCCTCGCTTGGCCCAGGAAGAGGAAGAAGGGGAAGGATCCTGCTTAGAGTAGGCAAAGTGCACGTCTAGATGTTTTAACGGGGAGACCTGGATAACTTAGTAAGGGCGCATGTGGAAAGTGGGTGAATGGGTGGAGGAGCGCACCAAAGCAGTGCTATACCAGTGACTTACCACGATCTCGCGAGAGGGATTGGGATTTTGGGTGGACTGCCACTCGTAAGTCCTTCTATTCATACTTCTCGTACACACCTCCCAAAGCAAATCAGCTATACATACGCGAAGTTTACAGGATTACATCCAAATGATCAAGCAAGGTAAGAGCTTCAAAGGTTTAGAATGGTATATGCTTACTTACTTATGGCCTTGGGCTTTATCATTTCGTAAATTGAGGGCGAAACAACTATCTATCGCGGTGCACCCATGAAGTATAAGCGAATTTGCGATATTATCGCCGAACGGCGGCACTTCACCTTCGGCTTGAGCAGCAAAGTTTTTGGGTTCTTTCGGTCACGATATCTATGCACAAGGTATCTTATCAACTACCATCTGTGTATACAGGAACACGAGATAAATAAGTAGTGTTACATATGTACGTATACCCTACACAGATGTAACACCTCCAAAAGCCCTCCGGATGTGTGATCAAATTTCTTCTAAATCCTAATATGTAGATACCCTTGAGATACCCAGTATTTACGAGAAGACTTTACTCTCAACGGGTATACCTTCGCTGCTTACCCTGACCAGCACAGCACAGCACACCTATCCCCTATCCCTATCCCCATGCGCCCCATCGTACGAGTGGCGAATCAGGTATATATGGAGTGGGAGAGGATACTTCCAATCAACTAACAACAACGCCTTCCCGACCAAGTCCTCCCGCTTCCGACGGGTCTTATGATTCGACGGCCTCAGATGCCTTTCCAAGAAAGGTTTTAGTCTGTAGGCCTTAGGACCTAGGTTTTACTCTATACCCCAAATTAAATGAGAGTCCCCAATTGAAATACTAAATAGGAATAATCCGATCTGGTGTAATGGCTGATATTATCGCCTCTCCATATCCATATCCATGGCTCCAGATGACAGGGAATATTATCGTGAGTATTGCGCCATAGTAGCCTGGGGTTCGATTTCCCATGTCGGCTTTGCATGCAATAGTACATTTTTTTGAAAAGACGAATACTACAGCTTGAGAGTAAAGCTGCTTTCAAAGGTCGTTGGAAGGCAATTAGGCGAAGCTCAGAACAACTCAAACACCTAAACCCTTTCGGCCATGAATATCTTTGTACATAGTACACACGATTGCTTATTCGATTCCTATCATCACGGCGTATGCACAGTCCCAAGAAAGGTTGTAATTCTGTACCTCCAAATCACTACAATCCGATATGGTGTAGTGGCTAACATCATCGCCTCTCATGGCCTAATATAATTACTGGCAGAATATTGGCTGCGCAATAGCCCGGGGTTCGATTCCCTGTGTTGGAATCTCCCTCCATTCTATGATAGCTGATTTTTGTGCTGGTTTTGTATAGTTCTAACTACAAGTGCCTGACTGACCCTTTTAAGTATATCCTATGTACTTATATATGTTGCACCGCTTGTGGCCATGCCACGGTCCCCGTCTAAACTTTTTGAAATGGTGTACAGCAAGCAGCAAGTTGAAATTTACTACTATGGCTACACCAAGAATTTGAGTCTTCTAACCGAATCAAGATCTGAACGCCTTCGTCTCTGAGACAAGATAGGAATGTGCCCTGCGTGCAAGAGTGGTTTTAGTCTGTACCCCAACTGGAATGATCATATTCCGATATGGTGTAGTGGCTAACATTATCGCCTCTCAGAAGGTTGCGCGATAGCCCGGGGTTCGATTCCCCGTGTCGGAATTCGGTTTATAGCACTGGTGTTGTATTTTTTTTTTGTAGTCCTCAAGTTTTTTTTACATCCTACGTGTATACGTTACGCTTTATGTTTGAGTATCTTAGGGCTGTGGGGTGGACAATTAATTATCATGCTTTGAAGTACTGTACAGCTTATAGAGATGCAACTCACGGCTTGCGATTCATCATCCTTGGGCAATCATAGTCCAAGAAAGCAAGTTTTTTTCGGTAACGAATATCTACAACGCAGTGTACTGAAATTCCTAACAACTACCAATTACTCTCCGTGTAGACGGCACAGTACATGGATAGCGACCACGTATACATAACACGACAGCGGAAGGCTCTAGAAATCCAAAGTAGTCGGTTAGTATATATAATAGATTATTGAGAACACTATGATTCGGAAAACACCTACCCTCGTTATCTACGGATAAATCTCCCTTGCATACCCAGCGTCGCCCACCCAAAGTATCGCATACCCATACCCATACTCCCAACGCTCTCCCTCCAAGCTGAATCGGGCATAGGCGAAGTTGGAGTGGGACTATCCCGTACAGGACACTGCGAGCATAGGGACAGGGAGGAAATAAGGGCGCTACAGCTCCTGCTGCCGGTTGGTGGCGCCGCCGAGGAGAGAAGTATCTGACATGGAACTGGTGAGGCGCACATCTAAATGCTTGAGGCGGGTGTAAGAGAAAGAGCGTCCCAAAGCCAAAGCAGCGCTAGTGCGAAAAGCGAGAAGAGATTCTTCGGATCCGTGTCTGCATGGTGGTAAGGCAAGCGTTTCGAGGTAGGGGCAGATGGGGGTCTCCGGCGCCAGGGTCATCATAGGAGGAATCAAGACCAACAATGAGCCGTATCATAAGGAAATCGTCGATGATCGGGACAGGAGTAGGGTTGCAGAGATGTGGGTTAATCCAGTTTTGAGTAACGGAGGGAACGGAGGCACTGTACAAGGATGGATTGGGTTTTGAGTGGGGCTGAGAGGTAGAGGTGCTGAGAGAGAGGGGAATGAGAGGGTGGAAGATGCTGGAGCCCGAACGTTACACATTACGCGTTCAATCCGAACCTGAATGATGTAAGAAAAGGAACAGCACTAAGAAGATGACCCGAAAATTCATGAACCTTCGAGAAGCCGCATAAATGGGATACACCCTATTTCCCTACGGAAACCTAAGACTCCAATGAACGGGCGGCTCGTGCGCGTGAGCGGCGGAGCATGAATGACACCAAATAGTGAGGAGACAATGCACTCGAGGAGAGATATGCGTCGGACATGAGATAGAGATCAATCGATCCGCTTCAACAGCTACAATCGCGAGAACCACTTCCTCTATATCCTCTCTACAACCCTGGAACCTCACTAGCTCTCCACCTCAATGCTACCTCCCGCATTCTTGGCAGAAGACTAAACGGCGCTCCGCATCGCACAATGGATATCTCCGAGATAAGCTCGCGAGGAAAGGTGGGTGGGAATCTGAGATAGGCGTCGACGTGGGCTCTGAAGTGATTGTAGCATGCCATCATTCCACCCATACGCCTCATACTTTCTGCGCAATTGGCTTTTTTGTTAGCAAGGCCTGGTACACGATAGCTGTAGATAAGAAAAGAGAAATGATATCCGTAAACTTGCTGACCGGTACAGTGCCCAAGCCGTGCGCGTGCGGACCCACGTCGTAGGAGATTCAGTGAAGAGAGTACGTGACGCAGACGCCTTTTGGAATAGACGCGCAGATCAAATCAGCTTACCAATCGAGTCTAGATCTAGCAAAGCGCTTCCTCATTTCCTGCAAAGCTAATTATAAGGCTAATGGATGTTCTGATAATGGGACTGTGATGCCCGATAACTATCCCCCGTCCGCATGTAGTATCGGCGAGTTCGACGGATTGACTGTTTTCCAATGTGCTGTCGCATTGGCCTTTACCTATTTATTAACCTTTCACTGAGTTCAACGCTTATTATGATGCATGAACCGTTCAAGAGGAGAGCAAGATATTGGTAGATCAAGCAAATATTCAACTATATTAGGTCAACATCGACTCACTGTAGTTGCCTCACAATGTCCTACGAGCCAGATTCCAACTGGCTCGGAAAAGGAAGCATGGCGGGAGCAAAGGGGATAATACATGACTGCATATACTTCTGTTTTCCATGCCTGAGAACCTCAAGCGCCTTACACCGGTGCGTCCCTTTAGAAACAATTTCACATTCACGGCGGATCTAGACTCAGATCTGCTCCATCCAAGCCACTTATATTATGGAACAGACTACTAGTTGAACTGCGGAACGCTTCCGCGCCCGGTCATTCCACGCGCCACTGTCTTTCCTCATTTCTCAAACAACAGGAAACCAAACCGAGCCGGCGGTCGCACATCCCCCCGGGCCCGGCCAGTCATGTAGAATTTTGTGAGGAGGTATCCGCCGCTCCGGCCCTGAGTTCAAAGTATATTATCTGTTGGATCGTCAAGATATGCGTTAGTCGGGTCAGAACTAATAGCATAAATATCAACATTAAACATCTAACAAGGGCTTAGATAAAAGACAGTTGGTTAGACAAGACTCATATCCTGGACTAGGAATGGAACTTATGGAAGATAAGTAAGACTAACGGGAGTGGGGATGGGCTGCCTTAAGACAGTTTTTCCCCCAGTATTTTTTATAGTGTTTCCTGTAGTATGGCAGTATATAATTACCCCAAGTGCCAGTGATGGAGATGCCTTCACCAGAATGATCAGGAAAGGTCTGACTTGGTGTGCCTCAATCAAAAAAGAATGAGAAATTCTGCATGGAGAAGGTAAAGCGCACATTTGACGCGGACAGATGATCTATAGAGAGACGAAAGGAACCACAAAAGGATGGGCCCGGGGCCAGCATATTACTTTCACTGAGATTTGACGCAATAGCATCGCATAGCATGTGCTTGAGGTTATGGAGCCGTTAGATTTTGAGGGATGTGTAATGCCGCCGCGGTGTATCATAATATGTGATCTGATGTCCCATCGCTGTCCGCTTGGCACCGACCTGCACTGAAGCTGCTTGAAATGATGATGCAAACAGGACCGTCGACACTCACAGCGAGTGGAACCGCGACGACATGGTGGTCAAGGAATAAGAGCGATTAGATTATCTAATGTACGTACGTACAATAAACTACTACCTAAGAGGCGGAGCGACCGAGCAACAGTAAGTATACTCTAGCATGAAATCATAGATCTTGAGTGGTTCAGATGGATGGGTACGATAGGTGGGAGATGATCCTGGGACCAGCTACATTATAATTGACTGATTGATCTTCCGATGCCCGAGGGCGCACAGGGTCTTACTTCCCGGAAAGAGACCACCGCAAGTCTCAAAGAATGTGTTTGGGATGAATTAGACGGGATCGTAACAAACATAGTCCACCGCGCCACGCGCTTCTTGCCGATTCGAAAATCCCGTCTTTGGCAAGACCTGCACAGCGTTGTGCAATTGGGGAATGTACCTTATGTATTGAGTTAATCTGTCTCGCAATCGATCTTATTGATCTTTCTATTGATTGTCTACCCGCGTGAACCCCACGTATCATCCGCAATATGTATTGTGTTGATTGATATCCATGAAAGTCCCAATTACTGGATAGCACGCTGAGCTATTATAGAGCTTAATAAGACATTTGCACTTTGCTTCCTGAATGAGGCCGATAACTTTGTGAGACATTGCTTTACGTATGAGAGGAGAGCTAGGAACCGTACGGAAATGATGCATAGAGCCTGTCTGTCATTGTCAATATATCTACATATCACAGGTTCAATTCAGACTGGGCAAAGGGCATTAGTAGCAGGCAGGTAATGCGGCATACACGTCAAGTAAAAGACATATGTAGATAAAGAGCCCGGATTTGCCCACTCGGTCAGCCTCTGTCACGGATACAACAGTGAGCCTCCACCAAATTACCTTCAGTGGTTTGCGCCTCACCGCAGGGTCCTTTACAGATATATATCATTGAACATCGTTTGAACATTGTTTGGAGTGCATCACCGTTGTGCAAGGAAGTGAACCAACATAACAGAATATGTTAGTTTCTTCTTCTTTTTGCTGTACAAGTGCATAAAACAATCTTACATGATTATATTAGTTGACTTCGACAAAAAATGGACCTTATCTCTGGGTTTCTGAAAGTGAGTAAATGATTAATTGTTTACTACTGAAGACTACGGAAGAATCAACGAAAAATTAACGATATCATGGTAGTCTACAAGGGACGGGATCATACGTGCGGGGGCTGTGCCCCCGCGATTTTTTAATCGCAGCCATGCTGCTTTACTCAGCGGGCTTGGTCTGTACCACTTGCTTCGCTTTGAACAGAAAGGCCGCCTCAAACATCTTGAAAAGTACATTCAATTGGATCGTAAAGTGCTCCGACTCCTTCCCTTGGGCCACCCGAGGCTTGGTGATGCACTCAATGGCCTCAGTGTGTTTCTCATTATGCACTTCCACGAGACAGGCCAGCTTGGAGATCTTGAAGAGTCTATTCAACTGAGTCGAGAAGCACTTCTACTCCTTCCTATGGAGCGCCGTAATAAATCACTCAAAATCCTCAGTGTGGGCCTCCTTGTTCGCTTCCAGCAGACAGGCCACCTTGGAGATCTTGATGAGTCTATTCAAGTGAATCGAGATGTGCTCCTGCACTGCCCTGTGGGCCACCCGGACCGTGGTGATGCACTCAAGGACCTCAGTAAAGGCCTCCAGAGTCACTTCGAGCAGACGGGCCACCTCAGTGATCTTGATGAGTCTGTTCAATTAAAGCAAGATGTGCTCCTACTCTGTCCTGTGGGCCACCCAGGCCATGGTGATGCACTCAGCCTGGGCCTCCTTGTTCGCTTCCAGAAGACAGGCCACCTCGGAGATGTTGATGAGTCTGTTCAATTGCATCGAGATGTGCTCCTACTACTTCCTGTGGAGCACCGTGGTAATTCACTCAAAACCCTCAGTGTGGGCCTCCTTCTTCGCTTCCGGCAGACAG